AATAAAAAAAAAAAAAAAAAAAAAAAAGAAAGAAAGAAGGGAGACAAATGATATGGGAATGTAGTGGAGAATGGAAAAGAGAGATGATTTGAGAGAGAGAGAGAGAGAGAAAGAGAGAGAGGGTGCATGAATGAATGAATGAAAGAAAATGCGATATGGGAAAAGTAGTTTTGTGGAGAACGCCCACGGTTTTTGTTCTCAAATAATTTGGGAAGAAAGAGAAAAACATTTAATGAAGGTAGGAGGAGGAGGACAGCAGCCGTGTCATTATTACTTACGCCAACGCCAACGCCAACCCACCCCAACCCAACCCAACCCAACCCTTTGAGCTTACGTCCCAATTTTGGTTCCATTTTCTATTTGCCTTTCCTTTCCAAGACATCCCCTCTTTTTCTTCTTTCCTAATATACCTTTGGACGCCCTCCACACGCATTTGCCTTTCGTAACATTCATTCATCTTCTTTCTATCAGCCATTGTGTCCAAGATTTTATAAGCCTCTCTCTATTGTGCAAAGCTCCTAACATTTTTTCTTACCTAACATGCACAAGATCTAATCTAACTTAACTAACGTATTGGAGGGCCAATTAAGGGTCAACACCCTTAAAATCACGATGCCTATTCCCATCGCTTCTCGTATTGGAGGAAATATACACAAATTGGTAATGTTCTCATAATCACATCCATCCCCATCAACAACATTAAAAAAACTCATCCAAAGCAGCTCAATGATTATCATGGGTTGGTTGATTGTATGTGGATTTACTTCACAAATGCAAACAGTTGATACAGCAACATACATTTCCCGTCGATAAGGGCTATTCGTCATTCATGCTACCTTTAATCTAAGCGATCTTTGAGGATTTCTCGTAGATAGTATAGTTGCTCATCCTCACCTTGTAGTTCCTCCCACTACAGGAAAAAAAAAAAAAAAACGCCATTGTATACATTAGAGAGCTTCAGACCCTTCCTTTGAAAAAGAAAACAGATTAGGAAAAGAAACATGTTTTTCCATTTATGAAAATTGACTTCACAAGTATGCTACCATACCATGACTAGAATTGACCACTAGATCGGGCAGTTATGGAAATTTGAAAGTCATGCTTATAAACACATTGAGACACTTGAAGGATTCAACAATTCAGAGCAACACTCAACAAATAATTCATATTCAATATACAAGATTGCAACACAGACCTCCTGGTGAGACAATGATACCACGTTCCAGCCTGCAGCAGTTATGTAACGACGTTTCAGCACGGTGTGTCCCAAAGGTATCCCTGTAGAATAGTAGAAGCAGCTTACTTTTATTGGTTTGGTTTCTAAAAGGCATATTAACCAGGCTTACAAGACTTTGTATTGCTAAAGATTTACAGAAACCTAACCTGTGTTTCTAGAGAAATGGGTTGGACCATCAATCTCCAAAGCAACCTTCTTATCTACTATAACGGCGTCTAAAGTGTAACCATCAAATACATATTCCCTGATCCACTCATGACCTGTGCTAACAAGAAGACGGGATACTTCTTTCTGAAATGATGAAGTCGTTTTCTGATTGAACCTCTTAGTTTTCCCAGCAAGACTGGCTTTCTCTTCGAGATCGGAGCTTAAAGATAACCGAAGATGCGAATATTCCCGCTTCAAGCAGTGATTCACAAGATATAGTTGAGAAGCAAACATGATATCATTCCTATGCTGCTCTGAAATATTTTCCTTCTCAAAGTAGCCTATGGTTCTCCAAATGTGGGAAAAGAAACTGCGGTCCATTTGCCCCAATACAGCATAAGACCAAGCTATATTTCCTAACTGATTCCGATTAAATTTGAGCACTGGAGAGCCTGATGCTCCATCTAATTCAAGATCACTAATGACACCAACAGTGCTTTCTTGATTACTATTCAATGTTCCTTCACTCAGGTAGCATGTAAATTGACTTGCATCACTATAAACGTTGTCTAAAGATTCCAGCAAAAGGTCAGCAGATTCATTTAAAGAGGCAAAAGCCCACAATACCTGAGCTAGTTCCTGTTCTTGAAATGTATGGACTATATGTGATGCTCTTTTTGCTAATTCCGAGAAGAGATCAGAAGCAGAATGTTGCATTGAAGCAAATGCTCCAGCAATGTTAGCAACATTCTGAGAATTCAACTCCTCTATCTTGGTCAAGGTAACTTTTGCAACTCTATCCATCTCTGACAGAAAAAGTTGATCGCCTCCAATCTTGGACATTGCCCAAGTAATGTTGGAGATGCCTTGCGCCGAGCACTCTGGCAATGCCATCATGGCAATACCAATCAGCATCGACATTTCTCTTCGACGAGCGAAAGCTAACCTGTATGATTTCAACATCGAATTTTTTTCCATATTCTTAGCAATCCTATGAAGTGCTGTGGCAATGTTCAAAGGAGACAAAGGAGAAGGACTCAATCCTTTCCGAACAGCAAGGATCATATCAGAAATAAGCTCTAATACTTCATCTGCGGTCTGTGCTTCTATAATTGCTCTGTTCAAATTGACTTCCTTTTTACGATCCGAAGGCCCCGAGTATTGGGACAATGTTTGAATAAAATCCTCCATTGTCTTCTCCTTCCTTTGTTCAAACATCCCACCACCCATTATGCTCACACTCTTACTCAAATGGTTAGCGTCATTAATACTTAAACTATCCAACAAATCCAAATCCAAATCCAAATCCTCATCTGAATCAGACTCCAGTTCTTCCTCAAAGACATTCTTATTCTTATTAACCCCATTAGCCTTGCTTCCCGAAATCTTCTTCTTCTTCTTCTTTCTTTTCTTCTTCACAGAAAACAAATCTTCCTCAGAAGAAATGAAGCCTCTTGCCTCAATGGCTCTAAGAGAGGCCTTCCTAGCCCTCAAGCACCAATCCATGCCCTCATCGTCATCAAGAAGCTTCGATTTCATTTGTTTTTTCTTCTTCTTCGGTGGTTGAAACCCCAACGGATCAAGCTCTTCAAGCAATTCCACTTCCCACTCCATATTGTCACTGTTACCTCTAAAACCCCCATTTTCGCTGTCAAACTTAATACTGGTGGAGCTGCTGACGGCAGGGCCATCCGAGTTTACACAATTTCTTTGAATATGGCTTACATTAAGTTTTCGCGTCAAAACTCCAGATGCTAATTTAATAGCCGGACGTGTTTTGCGAGAGAAAACAGAAGAATTTGAGAAACCAAGGGCAGGAAATGTACCCAACAACACTTCCATATCCAATTTCTTATACACTGTTTCGTAAGGCAAAATCGTGAATTAAGTGAGAATTGCAGAAATGTTAGTATCTTAGAAATGGCAACATACCTATCGGAGACCGGACGTGCCGCTCCTTGAGATGAACAAGTACAGTGTTGCCAAGGCCCCAACCCGACGCCATCCTAATTATCATCCGGTCAAGTGATTTTCTTCCGAATATTTGTAAATTCATTATTACCAAAAAAAAAAATAATAATAATAATAAATAAAAAAAAATGTTCGAATTTAATACTTTTTATTTTATAATAATCTTAACGGGAAGAAAACAAATACATTCATTTGAAGTAAGTACTTATTTAATTTCATATACTCTTCATCATAAGCTCTATATAATACTAGATTTGACAAAGTTAGAGATCCTTCTAGAATTCTTGCAAAACATTCACAGAGAAAACTAACTTAACAGATTGATTTCAACAAAGAGCTGGTTAAAAGATGAATGACTCCTATATTGAACTTGAAATCTATGATGATCTCTCTTAGATATCAAGACGACTCACTCCAGAATTAGCTTGATCATGACTAATCCAATGAATCGATTTTTAATATCAAACCTAAAGCAAGGTTTGAAAGAAATATAAGGTTTTTGTATTCCACCATGATTTCAAAATTGAATATTACATATCATACCTGTCCACAAGATAATCCTAACGTAATAAAATTCAACCAAAATTACTAATAAATGCTATTCATTCATAAATTGTTAATTAGTAGTTCAACTACAAAGCTAAGTCTTCTCATCACTTTTCAACGTGAACCTCTCTATTATTTTTTTGATTTTGATACTTAATCATTCCCCTCCCTAAAAAACACCATACTCTCCACTCCAACCAATTTAAAAAAATTGGGGTCTAAAATTTCCATTCGAAGGAATATAATATTTAAAAAATTGTTCTTTTTAAAAAAATTTAAACATTCCAATAATATATATATTACCGTGTTCATTGCAGTGAGATGAAAAATATAATCTCGGTTTCTAGCCAGATTGATTTTAAATATAATTTGTGTTTCTAGCCATGTTAGCTCCGAGGTAAATAAACTTTTCTATATTGAATTAAAAAAAAAAAAAAGTAAAAAAGAAATAATGTTTTGGGTTAAAAATTGTCCATAATTAGGAAGGGAAGAGGCAACAAACTTATAGAAAAAGAAGGGGGAAGAAAAGGTATATAAATGAATAAGAAACCCCATAATCAGGGCTCTCTTCTCAGGTTTCCCTCTCTGCTCTTCTCTTACCTCTTACAAGGCCATATATATATATATATATATATATATATAGAGGGAGAGAGAGAGAGAGAAGACAAACCCTGGCGATGGAAGGGGTCCACCGTCGTCCAAGCAAGGGCGGTGGACGGAGCCTAGAAGTGATAGACGTGAGAAAACTGAGCGAAAACCAGGTGCATCTAAGCCAATCACGACGTCCGGCGGCGATGGATCCGTCGGCGGTGAAGCCACGCGTGGTGAAGACAGGGGAAGGGTCAAGAGGAGGTTCAGGGAATTCATGGTGGAAGAACCCGGAAATGAAGAGGCAACGACGTGTGGCGAAGTACAAGTTGTATACAGTGGAAGGGAGGGTAAAGGATTCCATAAAGAAAGGGATGAGATGGTTCAAAACCAGGTGTAGCAGAATCGTGTATGGATTTTAAAAACAATTCATTCAACCAAATTCATTCATCATGTTTTCTATTTTGTAACCCCAAAATTCTTCATCAACACTCATGGCCCTTTTCTTCTCCTCTTTTTCAATGGAATGGTTTTCAAACATACCACACATTTCCTGCATCTCATTTCTGTCCTTTTGCTTATTTTTGTGGCTTCTTCTGCAAATTTCACTTTATTTTTTACCTCATTCTTCTAATAATTTTTTTAAAAAATTTTAATTTTAATAATTTTCAAAATAAATAAATATATATTAAGTTATTTTTGTGGAGTTTATATACTTCGGGATTTGGTAGAATAACTTAATATATAATTTGAGGGGGGAGAGCCCCACATATTAATTTATGGAAACATCGTCAGCTTATAAATAAGCAATGTACCTCTATTGATATAAGACACTTTTGGGAGCAACCCGAAAGTAAAGACATGAGAACTTATATTCAAATTGACAATATGATACTATTGTGGAGAGTCGTGATTCCTATCCGTTTATATATGTATCTATGTATATAGAATTTTAAAGCTAATAGAAGGGAATTCCTTGTAAATTCTTTATTTTATGTGGTAATTTGATTTGTTAGAACTTGTATCAATGGAGTCGTGTGCTCTCGATTGGAGCTTGTTTCAAACAACTTTTCTTTATTATCATTAATAGTCCATATTTTGTTCGTCTTTGGTAAAGTAAGCTATAACATATTCGTTTCTCCGTTGCAAATACGAATATACGAATATCACTTTCTTAGGCAATGCCAACATCGTGTCTAAAGGGTTCAATCATTCAAAGTACTTCTTTCTTAGGCAATGCCAACATCGTGTCTAAAGGGTTCAATCATTCAAAGTACTTACTAAAAGTCACTTTCTTAGGCAATGCCAACATCGTGTCTAATCGGTTCAATCGTTCAAAATACTTACTAAGAGTCTTAAAAAAGAAGCTGTGTTAAAGGATTATTGAGAGAAAGTGGAGTTGACTTATTAATTAATTGATCGTGAGCCGTATTAGGAAGCCCTCAAAATAGACCATATATTAGGTGAGACCAGTAATTCTAAACAGGAAGCCGGGGAGGATAGGACGGCCGTGGGACCGAGAGAGAGAGAGAGAGAGAGAGAGAGAGAGAAGGGCCCTTGAAAAAGTCGAGTCAAGTCTTTGAAGCTTAAAAAATGGTCTTGTTTTATACAGAAACTCGAAGTTTTTTTTTTTTTTTTTTTTTTTTTTTTT